CCAGGTGGTGGAAGCTGAGGAGCTGGCCCGCAAGGCGAACGCCGCGTTCCCGCACACTTCGCACTGCCTGGGCTCCGGGGAGATCCTCATCAGCTGCCTGGGGGATCCTGATGGCAACGGAAAAGGTTCGGAATTCCTCCAGATTCCATCAAAATATCCCCAGGCATTCATTTTCCTGCAGAATCCATGGAATACTTAGAATTTTCCTGAAATTTTTAGCACATTCCTGCAGTTTTTAATTGATTTTCCAGGCTGCTTTTATGTTTCATTTAATAAAAAAATGAAAATAGATGTAAATAATAATTTGCTTTATATAAAGCAAAATAATCTTAGGAATTATTATTATTATAGGAAAGGATAAAATGCTAGGAAATTATTTTTATTACCAATAATAAAATAATGGGAAATAATTTTAGGAACTGTTATTATTATTACTATTGGTAACAACAACAACAATAATAATAGTAATAATAATAGTGATGTGTAAATCAAAAATTAATTTGCTTTATTTCAAGCTCTATAAGTCTCTCCAAACTCCTTTTTTTGGGATTTTTTTCCAGGCACTTTCGTCCTCCTGGATGGAGAAACCTTCGAAGTGAAAGGAAATTGGGAGAAAGGAGGAAAAATCCCAAATTTGGGCTACGACTTCTGGTACCAGCCCCGGCACAACGTCCTGCTCAGCACCGAGTGGGGTGTCCCCAAAGTCCTGAGCCAGGGATTCAATCCCAAGGATGTGGAGAAAGGTCAGTGGGAAATCCTGGAAAACTCCATTTTTGAGAGCAGAAACTCATAAAAGATCCAATTTTTGAGAGTCAAAACTTCTAAAAAGAATCCAAATTTTGTGTGGAAATTGCTAGAAAAAAATCCAAATTTTGACCTTAAAAACTCCTCAAAAATTCAATTTCCCACATGTAAAACCCCTTTAAAAAATCCCAATTTTTTTCCTAAATCCCTTTCTTACCCCCAGTTTTGCTCTGTACCACTGAAAAAACCGGGAATTTTGGGAACATCTCCCTTTCCCAGGGCACTACGGGCGCCGCATCAACGTGTGGGACTGGAGCGAGCGGCGCCTGGTGCAGGAGCTGGACCTGGGCACGGGCTCCGTGCCGCTGGAGATCCGCTTCCTGCACGAGCCGCGCGCCGCGCAGGGCTTCGTGGGCTGCGCCCTGAGCGGGCACATCCAGAGGTTCCACCGGGGCCCGGTGAGCCCCGGCACTCGGGGGAATCCCTGGGAATGGGGCTTTGGATGGGATTCCTGGCAGGTTTTATTGGGGTGGGGAGTGCCCTGAGCGGGCACATCCAGAGATTCCACCGGAGCCCCGTGAGCCCCGGCACTCGGGGGAACCCACTGGGAATGGGGGTTTTTCAATGGAATTCCTGGGGTTTAGGGATTTTTCCCAGGTTTTATTGGGGTGGGATTTGTGGGGAGTGCCCTGAGCGGGCACATCCAGAGATTCCACAGGAACCCCGTGAGCCCCCGCCACTCGGGGCAATCCGCTGGGAATTGGGGCTTTTCCATGGGTTTTGGAGGATTTTGGGCAAAAACTGCAGGAATCGGGGCTTTTACCATGGGATTCCAGAGGGTTCAGGCAAAACCTGCAGGAATGGGGGCTTTTTTCCTGGGATTCCAGAGGGTTTGGGGCAAAATGTGCAGGAACTGGGGTTTTACCTTGGGATTCAGGAGGGTTTTGAGGTTTTTCCGTGAAATTCCTGGGATTTGGGGCAAAACCTGCAGGAATCTGGGCTTTTGCCATGGGATTCCAGAGGGTTTTTGGGGTTTTTTTCATGGAATTCCTGGGGTTTTAGGGGAATCACTGAGGTTTTACTGCTGTGGGATTGTGGGGTGGGGTGGATATCCCATGTGTTTTGGGAATTTGGGAAGAATTCCATGCTTTCTGTCCCTCAGGAAGGAAAATGGGAAGCGGAGAAGGTGATTGAGGTGCCCAGTAAGAAAGTCCAAGGATGGCTCCTCCCAGAAATGCCAGGTGGGAGAAATTTGGGGAAAATTTGGGAATTTTCTTGTGGACCCAGAGCAGATTTTGGTGGAATTCTATCCTTAAATGGCAAAAAATTCCAAATGTTGGGGTCTTTTTGAGGGAGAATTTTGGGATGAGCAAAGGAACCCTGGAGTGGGATCTGATCCTTGCTGGGGGTGGGATTTCCCAGGAAAATTCTTGGAATTTGAGTCTGGGTTTGCTCAGGAATGATCCTAGGAATGCTGGAGAGGCTTGGAACAATTCCCAAGGTTGATGTCCCATGAAAATCCTTGGAATTTGCATTTGAATTGGCTCCATCCTTTTTTTCTCCATAAAATCCCTGGAATTTGGGTCTGGATTTCCTCAGGAATTCTGGAAGTTCCCCCGGGAATTCGGGAATAATTCCCGAGGTTGATTTTGTTCCTCCCACCTCCTTCCCAACCCCATTTTTTGGCATTTCCACGCGGGAACTCGGGGATTTCTGGGATTCTCTCAGCTCCGGTTCCCTGATTTTCCTCTGGAATTCCCTCGGGAAGGGCTGATCACGGATATCCTGATTTCCCTGGACGACAGATTCCTGTACTTCAGCTGCTGGCTCCACGGGGACGTGCGGCAGTACGACATCTCCGACCCCAAAAATCCCAAACTGGTGGGGCAGGTGAGGAAGAAATTCCAAAAAAAACCCAATTCCCACGGTTTTGAAGGGATTCATTCAGTTTTTCCATGGATTTTACCGGTTTTCCAGGTTTTTCTTGGAGGAAGCATCTCCAAAGGGGGAGGTGTGACCGTGGTGGAGGATCGGGAATTGCGGGATCAGCCAGAGCCGTGTGTGATCCAGGTGAAGATTCCCAATTTTTTTTCCCTATTCTTCCCAGATTTTTGGAAATTCCCGACATCCAAAACCCCTCCTGAGGTTGTTCCCACCTGGATTTTCCTTCTTTAGGGATAGGTTTCATCCCATAAATCCCAATTTTCCCTCAGGAAAAAATCGTGGAATTAAGAAATTTGAGGAAAAATTCACGGATTTTCCACTTCAAGCATTAATTTATGGTTTTTCTATGGAAAATTCTGGGATGGGGAATAAAAAATCCCTTGGACACCCCCAGGAAATTCTGGAATTTTAACCCCTGGAATTATTGGAAAATCTCTTGGTGAGGTGAGGATGGGACAAAAAGAACCAGACAAGGGAATTCCTGCCAAAAAATGAGAAAAACCCTTGGATTTGGTGTCTCCCACAGGGTTTTTCCAACTTTAATCATTCCAGAATCCTCTAAAAAAAATTCCAGAGAATTCCAAACCATCCTTTATTCCCTGACTGATCTTCAGCCATTCCAGTGCTCGTGTCCTGAGGCAAAAATTCCTTTTTCTCCCCAAAATTGAGGATTGGCCGCTCCTGACTCCGGGATTTTGGAGCCCCTGGATGGTTTTTTCCTCTGTAATTCCCCAAAGACTCCATTTTCTCCCCAAAGCTGGGGATGGCACTCCAGGATTTCGGAGCCCCTGGCTGTTTTTCCCGTTGCAGGGGAAGAGGATCCCGGGGGGGCCGCAGATGCTGCAGCTGAGCCTGGACGGGCGCCGGCTCTACGTGACCACGTCGCTGTTCAGCGCCTGGGACCGCCAGTTCTACCCCAGCCTGCTCACGTGAGCCCTGATCAATAACTCTGGGGTTACTGCCTAATTACCGATCAATAACCGGCTAATAATCGCTTCTTGTTATCGGTTATTGGCTGGTTATTAATCAGTAATGGCTGATCGTTGGTTGGTGGTGAAGTGGTTGTTAGTTGAGTGTTAAATGGGTGTTAGTTGATTGTTAAATGGTTATTAATTGATTGCTAATTGGTTTTTAATTGGTTATGCATTAATAATTTTTCTTTGTAAATTATTAATAATTAATAACAATAATTAATAATTCATGACCAATTAATAATTGGTTGTTAATTCCAAAGGTTGGGGTCGTTTTGAGGGGGAATTTTGGGGTGAATTTTGGGTTATTAGTTGGTGATCAATTCCGTAGTTTTAATCGCATCAGCAAAGCCTTTTCCCAGCCCCAACCCCTTTTCCCAATTTTATTTTTTTTAATTCCCGCATTTTTCCCGGGTGTTCCAGGGAGGGCTCGGTGCTGCTGCAGCTGGACGTGGACACGGAGCGGGGGGGCTTGGCCGTGAATCCCAAATTCCTGGTGGATTTCGGGAAGGAGCCGGGCGGGCCCTGCCTGGCGCACGAGATGCGCTACCCGGGGGGGGACTGCACCTCCGACATCTGGCTGTGATCCCGGAATTCCGGGAATGTTCCGGAATAATTGGGATTGGGGGGATGTGGGAGTGCACCTCTGACATCTGGCTGTGATCCCGGAATTCTCTGCTCCCATTCACTGGTTTTCCTCTGGAATTCCCTCGAGCATGGATATCCTGATTTCCCTGGATGACAGAATATTCAGGAATATTTGGGAATGTGGGGATTGCACCTCCTACACCTGGATGTGATCCCAGGAAATTAGGAATTTGGGGACTGCACCTCCAACATCTGCCTCTGAACCCAGGAAATTCAGGACTTATCCCATTTTTTCCTGCTCTTTCCTCTCTCCATCTCTTTTCCCAGGGAATTTGGGGTGCCTGGGGCTTTATCTTCTCCTGAAATTCCCATTCCAGAGCAGCCTCTCCTAAAATCACTCTGATATTATTGATCAAAAATCACAATAAAATTCTCCTTCCAGCAGATTAAATTACTTCTTTTTTAGGGTTTTTGGGCATTTTTGGCATTTTTTGTTTTAAAAAACCATGTCACTTTCCAACATTTTTCCACATTCTTTTGTTGTATAGAGATAAGACAGGGATAAAAAGGGGATAGAATAGGAATAAAATAAAAACTAAATAAGGGTAAAATAGTGCAAAATATGAATAAAATAGAGGGAGAAATAGAGAAGTACAAGGATAAAATAGAGGAAAAAACAGGGATAAATCAGAGGTAAAATAGGGAGAAAGTAGAAATGAAATGGAGAAGAATAGGGGCAAAATAGACGAAAAACCGGGATAAAATCGGCAGCTGGAAGCAGAGCCCCGGGAGCAGAGGCAGCGCCGGGAATTCCTCCCGGACCCTTCCCGCAGCCCCCGCCCCGCCCGTGCCCGGCCCCGCCGCCGCCCTCGGCCCCGGGGTTTGTTTGTCCCGGGCTTCTCCCGGGAATGAGCCTCGGGAAGCTGCAGCTGATGCAGGAAACAACTTTATTGATGGCAGGGAAAGCAGAGCCGGGCAGGGACAGGACAGGGCAGGGGTGGGGACAGGGCAGGGATGGGGACAGGGCAGGGATGGCCGGGAATGGCCCGGGGGATCCCGAACCCTGAAATCACCCGAGGGGACCCCAAAGCAGGAATCCCCCGTGGGATCCTTAAGCCCTGAATCACCCGGGGCACCCCAAAGCCCCGATCCCATCAGCCAGGGGACCCCAAAACTCCAAACCCCCCAATCCCATCACTCAGGCCACCCCAAAGTCCCAATCCCATCACCCAGGGCACCCCACAGTCCTGGTCCCATCAGCCAGGGGACCCTAAAGCCCTGATCCCCCCCAAAACCATCACCCAGGGCACCCCAAAACCCCAATCCCCCCCAATGCCGTCACCCGGGGCACCCCAAATCCCCAATCCCGTCACCCGGGGCACCCCAAAGTCCCAATGCCATCCCCCAGGGCACTCCACAGCCCCGGGTCCCGCGGCGCTGCCGGGCTGGCTCAGGGCAGGGTCACGGATTTGGCGTCGCCGCCGGGGAAGCGAATCTCGTGCGCCAGGCACGGCCCGTGGGGCTCCTTGCCGAAATCCACCAGGAAGTTCTTGTTCACGGCCAGGCCGCCCTTGTCCGTGTCCACGTCGAGCTGCAGCATCACCGAGCCCTCCCTGCGCGGGGACAGCACGGGCTGCAGGGGACAGCGACCCCCGGGCGCCCCGAGCTGCTCGGGGAGGGGTCCCCAGTTCCCATGGAGGGGACAGGATGGGCTCGGGGACAGCTTTGGGTCCCCAGTCCCTCGGGACAGGACAGACCCAGGGGCAGGAGGGGCTCGGGCTCGGTTCCCCCTCCCCAGCCCCCTGGCTGGGCTCAGGCCGGGCCCCCTTGGGCCGAGCTCAGCCGGGCTCCGCTCGATCCCCCCGGCCGGGAGCGGCTCCGGGAGCCCCGGGGGGGTGGCGGCCCCCTCCCCTCGCCCGCCCGGCCCGGGAGCCTTTGGCAGCCGGGAGCGGCTCACTTGAGCAGGCTGGGGTAGAACTGCCGGTCCCAGGTGCTGTAGAAGGAGTTGGTCACGTAGAGCCGCTTCCCGTCCAGGCTCAGCTGCAGCGAGGCGGGGCCGCCGTACACGCGCTTGCACTGGGACACACGGACTGGGGTTACTGGGGGCGCTGGGGCACGGGGACACAAGGACTGGGGGCACTGGAAGCACCGGTGGCACGGGGACACACGGACTGGGGGCACTGGGAACACTGGGACACACAGACTGGGGGCACTGGGGGTACTGGGAGCACTGGGACACAGGGGCTGGTGGCACTGGGAGAACTGGGAGTGGGGTTACTGGGGACCTAGGGCTGGATCCCAGGGGCAGTGAGAGCAGGCTCACACTCAGGTGAGCACACACACACTCACACTCACTCTCACACTCACTGTCCCCCTGTCCCCGCTCACCTTGACCACCAGCGGCTCGGGCTGGCACTTGAGCTCCTCGTCCCGGCACACGGTCACGGGGCCCCCTCGCAGGATGCTGCCCCCCACGAACACCTGCAAGGGCGGCGCTGGCACACGAGCGTTCCCCGGCCCGGCCCCCCGGCCCCGCTTGGGCCCCCGGCCCGGGGCTGCCCCTCACCTGCCCCACCAGCCGCGGCTTGCAGTTCCTGGCCAGCTCGTACTGCCGGATGTCCCCGTGCAGCCAGTTGCACACGAACAGGAACCGGTCGTCCGGGCTGATGACCAGGTCGGCGATGAAGGCTGCGGGCAGAGCCGGGGCTCAGGGCCGCGGGCAGAGCCGGGCCCGGCACACGGGGCTGGGCTGAGCCGGGCTTTGGGGCAGGGACCGGGACTGTGGGCTCAGGCAGGAGTTGGGCTCAGGCAAGATTCGGGGTCACCCCGCAGGCTCTGGGGTCACCAGCCAGCTCTGGGGTTACCGGCCGGGCTCTGGGGTCACCCCGCAGGCTGTGCCCGCTGCAGAACTCACCCAGGGCACAGGAATGCCACCCCCGAGGCCACACGCACCTGGCATCTTGGGCATGATCCAGCCCGACACGTCCTTGGGCGGGATGCGGATCACCTCCTCCACGGCCCAGTTGTCTCTCTGCACAGGGACACCGAGCCCGGCTCAGCCCGCGCTGCCCCCGCCC